GCTCAGCTCTTTTGCAGCCAGTTGCTCTCAGTGTATCCATTATAGCTCAGTAGGTGTATCATACAATGTGTCCATATGGCAGAGGGAGACACCATCATAACTAGAGTTCAGAGGCCTTCCCGCGATAGACGGAGCCCCATCTGTGCAAAAACCCACCATTCGATCCCATGGAATCTGTTTTTCGTCAATATAGCGATGCAGCACACTGAACATCCCGTGCCGTTTCATGCTCGGGAATCGTGAGACAGAACAATATGTCCTGAATAGCATCCCCCGACATGTAGAGAACTAAAGTAAATGCATCTTGGCCCTCACAGCGTACATCCATTTGGAGAGCATAAGGTGGGTAGTTTGAGTCGTTCAGTCAGAGTTCAGCATTCAACACTATAGTACCCTCCAAGCTCATCATTAAGCTCGAGGCCCTGGGTCTGAACCCCGCCCTGTGCAACTGGGTCCTGGACTTCCTGACGGGCCGCCCCCCAGGTGGTGAAGGTAGGAAACAACATCTCCACTTCTCTGATGCTCAACACTGGGGCCCCACAAGGGTGCGTGCTCAGCCCCCTCCTGTACTCCCTGTTCACCCATGACTGCGTGGCCAAGCACGCCTCCAACTCAATCATCATGTTTGCAGACCACACAATAGTAGTAGGCTTGATTACCAACAATGACGAGACAGCTTACAGGTAGGAGGTGAGGGATCTGGGAGTGTGGTGCCAGGAAAATAACCTCTCACTTAACGTCAACAAAACAAAGGAGATGATCGTGGACTTCAGGAAACAGCAGAGGGTGCACCCCCCTATCCACATCGACGGGACCGCAGTGGAGAAGGTGGAAAGGTTCAAGTTCCTTGGCGTACATATCACTGACAAACTGAAATGGTCCACCCACGCAGACAGTGTGGTGAAGAAGGCACAACAGAGCCTCTTCAACCTCAGGAGGCTGAAGAAATTTGGCTTGGCACCTAAAACCCTCACAAACTTTTACAGATGCACAATTGAGAGCATCCTGTCGGGCTGTATCACCCCCTGGTAAGGCAACTGCACCGCCCGCAACCGCAGGGCTCTCCAGAGGGTGGTGCGGTCTGCAGAACGCATTACCGGGGGCAAACTACCCGCCCTCCAAGACACCTACAGCACCCGATGTTACAGGAAGGCCAAAAAGATCATCAAGGACATCAACCACCGAGCCACTGCCTGTTCACCCCGCTATCATCCAGAAGGCGAGGTCAGTACATGTGCATCAAAGCTGGGACCGAGAGAATGAAAAACAGCTTCTATCTCAAGGCCATCAGACTGTTAATTAGCCATCACTAGCAAATTAGAGGCTGCTGCTGCCTATTGAAATCACTTGCCACTTTAAGAAATGGAACCCTAGTCACTTTTATAATGTTTACATATCTTGCACTACTCATCTCATATGTATATACTGTATTCTATTCTATAATATTCTACTGTATCTTAGTCCATGCCGCTCTGTCATTGCTTGTCCATATGTATATTTTCTTAAATTCCATTCCTTACTAGATTTGTGTGTATAGGGTATATGTTGTGAAATTGTTAGATATTACTTGTTAGATATTACTGCACTGTTGGAGCTAGAAGCACAAGCATTTCGCTAAACCCGCAATAACATATGCTAAACACGTGTATGTGACAAATAAAATTTGATTTGATTTGAGTTTCCTCTTGATCGCTAGCTATAGCATCAATTCTTAGTTTCATAGTGTTATCTGACAAAGGTATTGATGTGAATGTCTGTGCCTCTGCCTCCCTACACATTGTTTTCACCATATCAATTGCGGCAGGTAAGGGAAAGGGTAGGGGGATACCTAGTCAGTTGAATTAACTGAATGCATTCAAATGAAATGTGTCTTCCACATTTAACCCAACCCCTCTGAATCAGAGAGGTGCGGAGGGCTGCCTTAATAATATCAAAGTCTGTGCAATAGTGTGTGGCTTCATTGCATAGCTGGCTTAGCCATTCACGGTGGAACTGATTCAAGTGCAACGGTCAAGTACAGCCTTTTCCCACGATCTATGGGCGCTCTGGTTGAATTTAGGTTTTTAAGGTTAGCCACATTAATGATTTTGAGTGACCAAGATGATCTTACAATATACAGTGAGGGATAAAAGTATTTGATCCCCTGCTGATTTTGTATTTTTGCCCACTGACAAAGACATGATCAGTCTTTAATGGTAGGTTTATTTGAACAGTGAGAGACAGAATAACAACAACAAAATCCAGAAAAACGCATGTCAAAAATGTTATAAATTGATTTGCATTTTAATGAGGGAAATAAGTATTTGACCCCTCTGCAAAACATGACTTAGTACTTGGTGGAAAAACCCTTGTTGGCAATCACAGAGGTCAGACGTTTCTTGTAGTTGGCCACCAGGTTTGCACACATCTCAGGAGGGATTTTGTTCCACTCCTCTTTGCAGATCTTCTCCAAGTCATTAAGGTTTCAAGGCTGACGTTTGGCAACTCGAACCTTCAGCTCCCTCCACAGATTTTCTATGGGATTAAGGTCTGGAGACTGGCTAGGCCACTCCAGGACCTTGCTTCTTCTTGAGCCACACCTTTGTTGCCTTGGCCGTGTGTTTTGGGTAATTGTCATGCTGGAATACCCATCCACGACCCATTTTCAATGCCCTGACTGAGGGAAGGAGGTTCTCACCCAAGATTTGACGGTACATGGCCCCGTCCATCGTCCCTTTGATGCGGTGAAGTTGTCCTGTCCCCTTAGCAGAAAAACACCCCCAAAGCATAATGTTTCCATCTCCATGTTTGACGGTGGAGATGGTGTTCTTGGGGTCATAGACAGCATTCCTCCTCCTTCAAACACGGCGAGTTGAGTTGATTACAAAGAGCTCGATTTTGGTCTCATCTGACCACAACACTTTCACCCAGTTCTCCTCTGAATCATTCAGATGTTCATTGGCAAACGTCAGACAGGCCTGTATATGTGGTTTCTTGAGCAGGGGGACCTTGCGGGCGCTGCAGGATTTCAGTCCTTCACGGCGTAGTGTGTTACCAATTGTAATCTTGGTGACTATGGTCCCAGCTGCCCTGAGATCATTGACAAGATCCTCCCGTGTAGTTCTGGGTTGATTCCTCACCGTTCTCATGATCACGAGGTGAGATCTTGCATGGAGCCCCATGCCGAGGGAGATTGACAGTTATTTTGTGTTTCTTCCATTTGCGAATAATCGCACCAACTGTTGTCACCTTCTCACCAAGCTGCTTGGCGATGGTCTTGTAGCCCATTCCAGCCTTGTGTAGGTCTACAATCTTGTCCCTGACATCCTTGGAGAGCTCTTTGGTCTTGGCCATGGTGGAGAGTTTGGAATCTGATTGATTGATTGCTTCTGTGGACAGGTGTCTTTTATACAGGTAACAAACTGAGATTAGGAGCACTCCCTTTAAGAGTGTGCTCCTAATCTCAGCTCGTTACCTATATAAAAAGACACCTGGGAGCCAGAAATCTTTCTGATTGAGAGGGGTCAAATACTTATTTCCCTCATTAAAATGCAAATCAATTCATAACATTTTTGACATTTTGTTGTTGTTATTCTGTCTCTCACTGTTCAAATAAGCCTACCATTAAAATTATAGACTTATCATTTCTTTGTCAGTGGGCAAACGTACAAAATCAGCAGGGGATCAAATTCTTTTTTTCCTCACTGTATATATATTTATTTTCTTTACCAGGATTTTGGAATTTTACAAGGGGCCCTAGTTTGGGAACCGCTGTGCTAGGGACTATCCATAGTCCTTTTTTAACACATGCAATAACATTAGCTAATGTTTTGTTTACAAGATGTTTAGCTAACTAGTTAGTTACTGTTGGAGAAATAAATCCCCAAATACTGCTCATTCAAGTTCAACAGAGCAAGTAATGGGTCTTTACATCATTAACTATCTATCCTTGATTCGATTGATGTACTGTTAAATCAACACAAACCTGTTCTGTGCGGGTTGACATCCAGCAGACGTCGAAGACGTTCGTTCTCCTCCTTTGAACGAGATATTTCCTCCTGGTACTCAGTTACTGTTCTCTCTACTACTCCGACTATCTCTACAGCCGCCGCTGTCAGCCGTTCAGTAATATACACATTGAACAACGCCAATTTAGACATTTTGAGAGCTATGAAAGTCGAGGTTTCTTTGTGTTTTTGTTAGCTATTATTTTTTCGCCAGAGGGAGAAAATGTTTTCCAGATGATGGTGCTGCTATTTCCCACAATCCTCCGCTGATTCCGGTTCCTGTTTTTCAGGAAGTTGGGTGTTTGACAGCTGAGACAGAACATAGATCACGGGGACCGCTCTCAAAGGAACGAATAAAGAAAGGATAACTACCCAATCATCTGTACAAGCCTGTAACCCAATACACTATGTCAAGGCAATCCAACCGAACCACAGACAGCAAGAAGATGGTAAGGAGTCGCGTTCTGCTAATGCTACTTAGCATACTGGCTACTCCATTAATGCTAGCTAGCTACAGTAGTAAGTTAAACTAACGCTAGCTAATTTAGACGACAAACTGCCTTTTATTGACCTCCAAAAAACAGCTTAACATGTTGATCTAATAATGCATGTTTTGATTAAGTATTAACGACACATCAGCTTAGCTGTAGTGCAATTTAGATATTCAATGATAATGTAATTAATGACAAATACAGGAAACTAGCCTGGCTAGCTAGTTAGTTACTGTAACTAGCATTTCATTCGCTAGCTAGCACCAGGGCACACTGAGCCACTGCAACTTGTTTAGAATGTTTTATTCGGGCATGGTTACCTTTCGCATTTGTTAAACATATGAACTGTTAGCCTGGCATGGATGGCAATTGGCATGAGAATATGTGCCCCTATGATATTGGTACTTGTCTTCGTCGTAGGTAGCTGACCCATGTACCTGATAACCATACTTTAGTCAGGCTGAATTAATTTATGAAAATGTTTTATCTGCAATACAATAAATTATTCACTGTCTTTGAATCAATGAAAGATGCCTGTAGTTTTGACGTTCTTACACCAGGGGGTGCTGGCAATTAAGTTTCTCTCTCTCTCTCTCTCTCTCAATTTCAATTTAAGGGGCTTTATTGGCATGGGAAACATATGTTTACATTGCCAAAGCAAGTGAAATAGATAATAAATACAAGTTAAATAAACAATAAATTACACTCACAAAGTTCAAAAAGAATATAGACATTTCAAATGTCATATTATGTCTATATATAGTGTTGTAACTATGTGCAAATAGTTAAAAGTACAAAAGGGAAAATAAATTGGGTTGTATTTACAATGGTGTATGTCAGGGTTCTTCAATTCCGGTCCTGAAGGGCCGAAACACCTCTGTTTTTCATCCTCTCCTTCTAATCAGGGGCTAATTCAGACCTGGGACACCAGGTGAGTGCAATTAACTACCAGGTAGAAATAAAAAACAGAAGTGTTTCGGCCCTCCAGGACCGGAATTGAAGAACCCTGGCGTATGTTCTTCACTGGTTGCCCTTTTTCTTGTGGCCACAGGTCACAAATCTTGCTGCTGTGATTGCACACTGTGGTATTTCACCCAATAGATCTCTCTCTCTCTGTTTCTCTGTGTAGAACTCGGAGCTGTTCACTCTGACATACGGAGCCCTGGTAACCCAGCTATGTAAGGACTATGAGAACGACGAGGAGGTCAACAAACAGCTGGATAAGATGTGAGTTTCTTCTCTTCTCAACAAACTCTGCTTAGTCCTCTCACTTATAAGTGATCAAGGAAAGGAGACAAGGAGAGTAATAGAGTCACATCTGTGTGTGTTTGTGTGTGTGTAAAATGTGCCACTCCTCAACATTTCATTTTCAGTTTATCCTTCACTCTGCAAATGGAAAAAGTGGAGCTACTGGTTTCGGCCTCTGAAGTTTCCCGTCAACCTACAGCACACTGACAAATTCTCCATCCCTCTTAAACTTGACCCTAGAAACTAATAGACCAATGATGTGACGTGTGTGTGTGGTGGTCAGATATGGCCTGTAAAGGTTTTCTGCTCTGCCAAACTAAGACATCTACTGTAGCATGCCCCAAATATGGTTCAATTAGGTGATGATCTAATCTGACTCCTTAATAGGGTCCAGATGTTTGTCTATATCTCTATATCTCTCCCTCTCTTTCTTTCAGCTTTGCTCAACTATGCCAGTGTTCATGTCTGAAAGCTTTAAGGGAGGTGTGGAATCTCTGCTCTAAAGTGGAACCATTCTTTTATCCTATACTCTTTCCAGGGGATATAATATCGGAGTGCGTCTCATCGAAGACTTCTTGGCGCGCTCCAGCGTTGGGAGGTGTCAGGATTTCAGAGAAACGGCCGACGTCATCGCTAAGGTAACGGGAATGTCCCTGAGCCAATCAGAGCGTGACCATGGAACCCTCCCAGAAAGGAGAGAGGCGATGGGGAAGAGAAGGAGTGAGGGAGGGAAGGAAGGAGAGAGAAAAGGACAGGGAGAGAGAGAGAGAAAGAAACGGAGATGGAGAAGAGCGAAAGAGATTAAGATCTGAGAGAGGGAGCGAGAGCTGGGAAAAAGACTGAGGGAGGGAGGTTGACTATGAACGAGTGAATGAGTGAGTTAGAGAGCGAGGGAGTCAGCGACAGGAATTTGAACTCCAACCTGCAGTAATCTGCATAGTTTCATCGCTCCTCTCTACTGCTTTTCATTTCTCTGCACTCACACAGGTAGGGAAGCATCCCAGCTATGTCACCACAAAGCCAACTGGCCCCAGCCCGTGTGTGTGTGTGTGTGTGTGTGTGTGTGTGTGTGTGTGTGTGTGTCTGGGCTCTTGTTCCTCACTGCTTGTTGTCTTTCTTATACAGTAGTCCAGGCAGAATTGTCAACCTACATCCAGGGTGAAACACAACCCCTCGCCCAAGTACATTAGTTAACACTGAAGGAATGACCATACACACACACAAACTCGTGCTTGTGTCTATGTGGTCAGACAGTAGTCTGCTGTACTCCTGAGCAGCGGGCCCTAATAATAAATCACTGTAGACTTTACTTGTCAAGCTCAAACGCTACTTCTCTCACCGTGTGGTTGACACCAACCCTACATCCATCACTTTGCAATGAGAGCGTTAGAGACCAGAGTTGAATATGTCCCCAGTTTATTTCAGCTACTCGACCGCAGGACGGGGCAGCTCTTGCTAGCAAGCTTTGACATTGACTAACAACCAAACTGCCGTCACGCAGTTTAAAAGATACATTCACAAGGGCAGATCTCAACGACTTGATCACTGATTATCTCGGCAGGTGTGAGACCCTGGTAAAGAAAGATGTTACACTCCCTGGCCCTAACCTAGTCCTCTCTTTTCAACCCTTTCTCAGTAGAAAACATGTGACAATGTCAAATTGTCTGCATTCAGTGAAGAATCTTATGAGAGTGATAGTCTCTGTTCCATTATAAATGCAGTACTAACACCATTGTAACACTAACAGCATTGTATGATTGCATGTGTTGTCCACTAGGTGGCGTTTAAGATGTACCTGGGCATCACCCCCAGTGTGACCAACTGGAGCCCGGCGGGGGATGAGTTCTCCCTCATCCTGGAGAGTAACCCCCTGGTGGACTTTGTTGAGCTGCCTGACAACCATAGCTCCCTGGTCTACTCCAACCTGCTGTGTGGGGTACTCCGAGGAGCTCTGGAGATGGTAAGGACTGTGCCTCTTTAGGCCTTTTCACACCAGCCTAACCAAGCTGTACTGTTCTGGCCTGGATACGTATCCACCATCTTTGTTGGAACCGTGCTAAAAAAGGACAATGTGAAAATAAAATACCAGAGTCAGCACAGGGTGTGTGCACGGTACTGTGAAAATTATATTTGTGTGATTTACACTGAGTATACCAAACATTAGGAACACCTTCCTAATATTGAGTTGCACCCTCCCCCCTTTTGCCATCAGAACAGCCTCAATGCGTCAGGGCATGGACTCTACAAGGTGTCGAAAGCGTTCCACAGGGATGCTGGCCCATGTTGGCTCCAATGCTTCCCACGGTTGTGTCAAGTTGGCTGGATGTCCTTTAGGGTGGTCGACCATTCTTGATACACACAGGAAACTGTTGAGTGTGAAAAACCCAGCAGCATTGCAGTTCTTGACACAAACCGGGACGCCTGGCACCTATTTCCATACCCCGTTCAAAGGCACTTAATAATTTTGTCTTGCCTATTCACCCTCTGAATGGCACACATTGAAGTGGATTTAACAAGCAACATCAATAAGGGATCATAGCTTTCAACTGGATTCACCTGGTCAGTCTATGTCATGGAAAGAGCAGGTGTTCTTAATGTTTTGTATATGCAGTGTATGTATGTGTTGTGAAGCTTTATTATGTAGAGAAAAGCCCTTTTTAATTTCTAATATCTCCCTCTCTCCCCCAGGTGCAGATGGCAGTGGATGTGAAGTTTGCTCAGGACACCCTGAGAGGAGACAATGTCACAGAGATCCGCATGAAGTTCATCAAGAGGATCGAAGAGAATCTACCGGCCGGGGATGAGTGAGCGAGAGAGTGAGAGTGAGTGAGAGAAAAACCACCTCCCTCCACTTCTCTTCTCTTCCCACTCTGAGAGCGAGAGAATCAAGTCCTTGGGTGTGTCTGAAATATATTCTATCTTCCTCTCCTTTCCTCCATCTGCACTGGTCTAAATACAAAGGACAGAGATAGATGGAAGTTATGATGCATTTTACATCATCATGATGATGTGGCCGGTGACACTTTGCTTCTTGAAAGTCCAATATCTTAAAAACTTGACTGCTGACCTGTACAACATTGTGGGACTGTATCAACAGTGGACTAATGAAAAATAATACCAAAAGATAGTTTTGGAGTGGAATTAACCTTTAAATGCTTGATGACTACCAGCAATATTTACTGTCCCACTGTCTAGTTCTTTCACAGTCGTGCAGATGAAGGAAAGGAGACAGGGAGAGGTGGTTTTTGAGATGCACCCATAGAGATAGGTAGAGAACTATATCTGTGCCATTATAGAGTCTGTGACAGCATGGACAGCGCCATTGAGGCTACAACCCATAGGAATCCCCACCCGAGTTGACTACTTTGACTACTTTAAAATGGCGGAAGCATGGTGGAAGCCCTCAATGGCGCTCCCCATGCTACAATTGGCCTTTTGGCCACTAAAGGGCTCTATCATTCTCTATGGATGCACCCTATGCTTTATGGAAGGACTTCTGCTGAACTATGACCCCTGGCCTTTAACCTTTGCTCATCTGACCCCCCTGACCGTTCAGCTTTAATCTCTGCTCCTGTGATGAGGAACTCATTGGACACATCATCATCTCATATGTTAATTTCTAGGGCAAGGATCTTTTCAGATAAATACTTTGGCCCTTAGATGTAGTCTAGGCCACTCAAACTCAACTATGGACCTTTTTTTCATTGTTCCCCTCTAATCAGGTGTGTGTAATGAATTATCAGGTAGAACAGAAAACCTGCAGGCTCCTGACCTCGTAGGGTCAGAGGTGAATACCCCTGATCTAGTCAACTGTCTAATGAAAGTAGCCTTGAAAGGCTCCTGGCCCATTACAAATGGAACGTTTTTTGATTGACTTGCGATTCTGTTCATTTCACAAATGTGTATCACTGAATGGAATATGATGGTTCACTACCAAGTAAAAGTTGACTGTCTCAATTGTGTTGGTGGACAAGATTCGTTTTTACTTTCATCCTGTCTTCAAGATTCTATTAATATCTATGTGTATAAGATATTTATTTGTTGTCATGTAAGATACTGCCACATGTATGGCAATGGTCATTTAAGTAGGCTGATGTCATTATTAATAAACTCATCGTGACATATCCAATGGGTGCTGTATCACTGCAATAATTACAGCTACAGCTGGTCCCATAAGTGGTAGAAGACTTGTGTGTCCATGAGTCACATAGGAGGGTCTGTGTACCACGTTAACCTGTTGCAGGTCTCCTCACACAAATGTAATGAAGTGTCACACAGACCCTTCCCCTGTGCCCGGTCGCCAGATATACCCCAGTGCACTGTGAGACTGTTGTTCCTCTGGAGCAGCAATGTCCAGTCAAACAACAATAACACAGACCTAATGCCCCTCAGATGTTTGTTCTGGTTACATGGAAGCAGTCATGAACTGCTGGACGTATGTGCGCGTCTGACAGCCATGTGTTAGGAACAGCCGCTTTTTAACAGGGTGCCTAGAACAGGGGTGTGTGTGTGTGTGAGGGAGAGAGTGGGCGGGGTGTTTGGAAGGGGCTAGCAAGGCAAGATGCCGTTAAAGGCCTCTGTTTCCACAGCCAGAGGCCCATTCTTCCTGTAACACCTGTGAATGGACTGATGTCAACCAGTAGTCACCAACTCAACCCCTCTTTGAGGAGAATCGCTCACCTCGTCGATCACAGCAGAGCACACAGAGCTGGCCATTCACACACACACACACACACACACACACACACACACACGTTTCCATGATTTGAAATAATCAGTAGATTGCATTACTGACAGTAACCACCAGAGGCTACTGTGGGCATTGCATTCCCCAACACTCCAACACTGTCTCCTTCCAAAAACATTTCCCTCTTCAGGTCGCTGTCCGGTTTGAGAGTACAAGTAAGTTTCCCCTTGAACACTGATCTAAGATCAGTTTTGTGTTAACCTGTTTAATGGTAAAGGTTATGATTTGGGATGGGTGATGATCCTAGATTTTTGCATGAAGGCAGCTTTTACCTTGAGCTTGGATTTTGGTATTGTTGGTATTTATGGCATTGAAAAATATCGATTTTACAAAATCTAGTAACATTTACTCCTGATGTACTGACCTGTTGCAACCTCTACAACCACTGTGATTATTATTTGACCCTGCTGGTCATCTATGAACGTTTGAACATCTTGGAGAGAAATCTGGACTTAATGGTCATGTACTGTTATAATCTCCACCCGGCACAGCCAGAAGGGGACTGGCCACCCCTCAGAGCCTGGTTCCTCTCTAGGCTTCTTCCTAGGTTTCAGCCTTTCTAGGGAGTTTTTCCTAGCCACAGTGCTTCTACATCTGCATTGCTTGCTGTTTGGGGTTTTAGGCTGGGTTTCTGTATAGCACTTTGTGACATCTGCTGATGTAAAAAGGGACTTTATAAGTACATTTGATTGATATGTGGGTAAGTAGGTTACCCTGCACATAATTATTTTATCAAATTAAATGTATGATAATAGTAAAACAACCTCCCCTCCACAGACAGACAGACAGACAGACAGACAGACAGTTAAAAACAGGTTTGGATACAATCAATGCATGTATGAGGTCAGCATGCTTTCCAACCTCCAGGGAAGGAGTGGTCATTCATTGCTAACTGGCGGCTATTCATTGCTCAGCCTGGAATCAGAGACGTTTGAAAGGATAAACAGTGGAAAGTGGACACACTGTGAGGGCTGTCAACGTGAAATAAGAGGAACTCTCGCTCTAGTTTACACCCACATATATATGTATTCTGTAGGCCTATAAGGTGTATCTATGAATCAGTGGAGGCTGCTGAGGGGAGGATGGCTCATAATAATGGCTGGAATGGAGCCAATGGAATGGCAACAAACCATGTGTTTGATGTATTTGATACCGTTACATTGATTCCACTCCAGCCATTACCACGAGCCCGTTCTCCTCAAATAAGGTGCCACCAACCTCCTGTGCCATGCACTCTGTAGGCCTACAATGTGTACATTGGATAATGAGCGGGGAGGAAATTGTTTTGTGCAGACGTTCCATGTAAATCATTAGCCAATTAGCATTGAGCTAAACTGAGTGAGCGCTACTGTGAATGGTCCTGCCGCACCAAAAACAAGTGTCAAGGGAAGCCAGTTTGGATTTGGCTTCACATCAAAAGCAGAACATCATTTACAGAAAAAAAACTTGAATTGTTGCATCTCATTGTGTTGTTGTCCTCCGGTGGCTAGCTAGCTAAAATCGTCCCTTTCCTAAATTAGCCATGGGTGGAGATAGGGATTTGGACTTGTGGTTTTACTTAATTCTCCATTACTGGCTAATGATTATAACGGCGATTCTGCCCCTGGCCTGAGAGGATGGAAGTTCAATATGTAACTAGAGGTAGGCTAATGTTAACTAGCTGGCCTGGTGCATCGTTGCCCATGAAAGGAAGTTAGGCTAGCGAGCAAGCATTTTAGCCAGGTAGCCTAGGACAACAAAAACTAAAAGCGTGTACTGTATGACAGAGTCATAGACCGTTTCGGAAACATGAAAGAGAGGAGGATGGCATTGGCGTTTCTCTACAAGTAGGGTGAGTCAACATGTTTCTTCTACACACACACACACACACACACACACACACACACACACACACACACACACACACACACACACACCATGGAGTTCAGTACCATGGACAGCCACATCATATTTAGCTTATGTTGATTAGATTAATTGTTTTTGGTATCTTTTAGTTGTCACTATATTAATCTAATCATAGGTGATTTGATGATGTTGAAATGGTGCTGGAATAGTGGAGGTAGCTCCTGTTTTCATTTCGACTTGCGGTAACTCTCCATGGTTCTAAATCAATGGTTGTTTAGTGGTCCGAAAATGTCATGTTGACCATGCCGTAGGTCATGTAATTGTTTGTTACATGCAATATGTTTTGTGGACTTCACTGGACAGAGGTTGCTCTCCAGTTTTGCCACTGTGTCTTCTTATTGTCTCGGCCTTAGGCCTATATCACGGTGGCAAGCATATGAACTAACAGGTTATAGAGCAAACAACGCAATTATCACAACACAGGTTGTAATATGGCTTTTCTTCTGGCTTCCCAGTGATTTGACCCACGCACCGCTACTGCTAGATAGCTGGCTAGACTAATTAAAAAATTGTCAGCTGACATGGCTAACTGTCAGTGACTGACATAACAAGAGAAGAATTGCTGTTGCACAACCAAATTTCGAACCTGCACCTTGTGTATTCTACAATTCTAACTCTCAACAGGAAGTTGAGACCCCGAATGAGTTCCAAATCTTTTTCATGAGGTAGTCACCTGGAATGCTTTTCCAACCGTCTTGAAGGAGTTCCCACATATGCAGAGCACTTGTTGGCTGCTTTTCCTTCACTCTGCCGTCCAAAACATCCCAAACTATCTCAATTGGGTTGAGGTCGGGTGATTGTGGAGGCCAGGTCATCTGATGCAGCACTCCATCACTCTCCTTCTTGGTCAAATAGGTGGGGTAGGGAAGCGCCACTGCCTCCTCTCCTTCCCAGACTGCCGTGGCCCAATCCAGCGCCTTTCCTTTAAGTAGCGAAATCACCAGCGCTATCCTGGCTTGGTCAGATGGATATGCCCCAGGCTGATGCGCCAGATAAAGTGAAACCTGTAGCAGGAAGCCGCTACATTAAGTAGTTTTCCGTCATAGCGCTCCGGTAGGGCGAGGGTTCCCGCAGAAGTGAGTGATAGAACGGGAACAGGTGGATTGGATGCACTTGCCGCTCCCTGAGGTGGAACCGGAGCGCTGGGCAGATTATG